AAAATTAATTTTCTCAAAAAGGAATCATTTTTCAGAATTGGTGCAATGGTAACTTTTAATCAGGAAGGCGTGATCTACATTATATACAAAATTCAGCCAATTCTGACATAAACACAATCTCCGTATACTTTGGGCAGGGTCCAAAATAGCCACTTAGGCACAATGAATTGTGCAACCTCCTACTAACTAGCAAAATGCATTCTGTTTCATTTTGAAATATCAGGAATTTTTCCATCATCATAAGAAGACAAAATCAAATAGCAAAAAAATTGCCAACAAGGTCAAACACACATGAGCCTTCCTTTAATTCGGGTCGGCTTTCTTGAAACCGTTCATTGTTTAAAGCACTAGAGTACCTTCAAAGTCTATTTGCACATGCCGAAGAGAAGAAAACCGTCTCAAGGGTGCTTAGTCGATGAATGAAGGAACATCTTGAATCTTGGCTAAAATTGCTGGTCGTGGGAATGTACAAATAATATATGGGTTTGTTTGATAAAATTTTATTTATTAGTTTATGTTCCCTCTGGTTCTAACCCCCGATTGTTTCCACAAGGCGCATTTGTGTAACTTAGTTTTTTTTTTTGGGTAACAATGTCCATATAGTCATCCCTCTAAGAAACGAAAATCATTTTCATATTAATATGTAAATTTTCTATTTTTACAATACAATGAGGCAGTTTCTATTCTTTTAATTGTATAACTACTACTACTACTAGACTAGTATTGGCGCGTATTTTTTCCGAATACAAACACGGGGCAGTTTATGAATATGTAATTTGCAACAGTTATCTTTTTCGAGTACTTTTACGAGGGTCAATTAATTTTGCTGATGTCAGACTCTGGTGGTCGTCTAAGAGCCGGATTTTCTATTCATCTCCAATAGCTTTAGGCGTTTATTAGCTGTTATCTGGAAGTTAACCCCTCTAGAAAAATTCTGTCCTTAAAAGGGACTGGCGAGACAGTGACCTTTGCCCTTCTTGATTCCCACAGGCGAGACGTATTGTTAAAGGCTTTTGCATTGTAACCCTTTCTTAACGGTGGTCTCTGAATCCAGTGGCACCCCTGTGTGCAATTAAAAGTACAAGTTTATGGTTTTTCTTCTCTATCATCCAACTTTCTGTACTTGATACCAGTGTCATCTTTTCGATCTATGTCCATGGTGTTGTGATTTGTTTGTCTTAAAATGAGTCTTGCGAAACATCCATCTATAGGAAATAATAAACCAATATAGTTGTTAGTAGAACCAAAAAAATAGTCTTAAAACATGCAATTATCTATTATTAAACAAAAATAATCGTTATTTATTACTGAAAAGTTCTGGTGCATCCTGATAATAGTAAACAAATAACAATTTCCAAAGCCCCTGGTTTCGAAATTCCATGAAATTAAATGGCCCTTATCTTATCTGGTAAAATAATGAAAAATTACTTAACAAGTGTGATTTAAAATTTAAAAGGCTGCTTATGATGACGCCAAAAATATTGTCGATTCCAATGAAAAACTGTGTAATTTAATTGATCTCCGCCACTGTATTTACGCAATCTAATTATACAAGCTAATACTATTATCCCATTATTCCTACAGAAAAAAATCCTAGACAGGATAGGTTTCCCATTCTACAAACGATAAATAACTGGCGGTCATAAAATTTGTCACAGATAGGGTTGGACCATAAGGTGGTCAGCATAATTAGAATTGTGGTAAAAAATTTTTTCGTCTGCCGGTGACGGTTAATGAGTCGTTTGCATGTAATCGGCGAATTCCCATAGTTTACTAGTAATTTGAACTATAATTTTGTCATTTATAGATACGGAATCTTTTTTCCTATACATTGTGAAGGGTTGTTTGGTGGTATTTTTTTTCACACAATTTAGGTTTGAAGGGTGGATTTAATTATAGGGCACAAGAAAATGTCATACACTGGGGAGCCTGGTACAAATTAGGAATATTATGTGGTTTGGCACAGTCCCATAAGTCCAGAATGGTTTCAGAATGCTGATGATGATTTTGATTTTCTAACAAAAAGTGAATATTTCTTATATTTTGTATTGAGCTCTTCTCATCTCATAGTTTTCTTGTAATTTAACAAGTTCTGCTTTCAGTTTTGTTCTTGAATAATCTCAATATCTTGAACTACTAATAGTTTGAATGATTTCAGAATTTCAGCAACTATGCAAATATTTTTTTGAATTGTTCCAGAGTTTCCTCTTAAAATTTGAACCACAATAAGTTTTTCCTGAATTTTATCAGGTTTTCCTTAATGTACTTGAATTGCAAAGAGTCTTTCCTAAATGTTTTCAAATTCTTCAACCACATGCATATCTTTCTGGGCTTTAACTTAAAAAAAAATATTTTTTTAAAAGGTTTTCTTCATCACTAAAACATCTTCCAGAACTGATTCATAATTTTCAACTTCAGGTACATGGTTCATCTTCCTGTTCAGTCACGTCTTATTCCAGAGTTTTCTCTTCAGGTTTTTCCACTTCAGTCACGTCTTTGTGAGCTGTTTCAGATATTCCAACTATAGAATCATCCATCTGAGTAATTTTTGGTCTTTCAACATTTCACTGAGCTTCTTCAAACTTTTCCTAGCAACTCTGATCCATTTCATCATGTCCTATAACTATCTTTTATTTCTTAAAAAAAGGCACATTGTCCTGATATATACAAGGATATCTTCCTGAACTGATCCAGATTCTCCAACATCGGGGACACTTTTTATTTCAGGTTCTTCAACAGCAGAAACATTATCTTCCTCCTCGGTCATAGGCACATTTTCTATCTTTTACTACAGTCATATCTTCTTAAGACATTTTAGATTTTTCAACAGCAACGCTTTCCTGAGTTACTTCTTCAGCTAAGGAGAATCTTCAGACATTTGACAATCTGCCTCAGATACATTTTTGTAGGGTTTTTCTACAATTACCAGGGATGTTTTCCTGAGCTATTTTAGACTCTTCTACTACATGGATATCTTCTTTAGACGTTTTAGGTTATTGACCAACAGAAGCAAATTCCTAAGTAAATTCTTCTGGTTCCTCAACTTATTCAGTGATTTTAGAATTGCAAATTTTTGGTCCTGTATGTCTTATTTACCTGAAATATCCCAGAAACGGGCAGCATCAAAAATCAATCCTGAAATGGCACTTGTTGAAAAAGGTGAATCTGCTGAAGTTATCCATGAAAACCAACCACTTAGTGGATCTTTGGAAATCAATATAAATCTCGATAGTACTTATATATAAAAGAAGAATTATCAGATTTTGACATCAGTAGCCTTTTAAAACCAACTGAAGACGTTCCAGTATACTGAATACTGAGAATTAAAAGAAGTAGACCAGCTTGTAGATTCTGATGAAAACATGCCGCTGATTGAAAAACTACAGCATTTTCCTTATCAGTGGAAAAAGGCTGTAGTGGTTTCTTCTATACCCCCAAACCTGGAAAAAACATTACTCTCCCATCCTCTTATCGCCCAATCTCCCTTCTAAACTCCTTTACCAAAAAAAAAGGGAGGACATGGGCATAGACTGAAAGCCTATGCTGAACAATCCACGCAAGAAGCTGAATGAACCAACAATATTCAAATGTAGGATCTTTTATCGGAAGAGTTTAACCGAAATAACAGAAGGTACTGATTTTTGTTATGCAAAAAGGGAATTTCCCAGAGAGGTCTAGATTCAGTTACTGGCTGGGAATTATTCATGATAATATTTGAAAACTATCTTACTGAAGAAAAGTAGGTAGGTATCTCAAATGTCTCCAGTAATTGAACTCTTTCTTGATGAAATTTATATGACCGGATTCCTACTGATGATATTCCAGCAGAAGGAAATGTTCCATGAGAAACCACTAAATCTGCAAAATATATTAAAATTACTTAGGTTGAAACCTGCCAGACTGAGTCTACATCTGTTGAAGTGATGGTGTGAGCCTTAAAAGGAAAAATGAATTTCCAAGGGAGACTCAGAAATTACCCCTCATGGCCCACAAGAACAAATAACACAAGTTTCAAACACATGTTCAGAAGATGAATCTGAAGTTAAACCTACTTCTGATTCTACGCAAGTTGATCTTATCGAAGATTCCAATGGTGTTTTTTAAATGGATTTTGAGCTTGTTGGGGAGATTTCAGCTCTACTTACAAGTGTTATAGAGCAAATTGAAGCGGAGCAACAACATAAAACAGGAGCAACACTTTCAAAGAACAAATCTTGAATAGAATAGGTTAATGAAGCTCCTGTGGAACAAGTGAAAGAAGTTTCTGTGGACCAGACTAGAGAAGGTTTTGTAAAAATGCCATTTCCAGTACTTTTCTTGTAATATGTTTCTTTCGACTTAATATTATTCCCCTCAGTCTTGACTTGTATTATTTTCTGTCCATCCATAAGTAAGTTTCCAGATTTTGTAACCCACTCAGCACTGTATATACCAATATTATGTTGCCGAGACTGAGAAAATTGCGAAATTCAAGAACCCATAGCAGATAATAGGCATCGCAAAAGACTAAATTGAAACATTGTTTGACTTCCTAGTAAATTTCGAAGGTTATAATTCCTGCCATTTAGTTTATATTATACAAAGTAGGTTCATTGACTGGCACGAATTTTAAGGCAAACGAAAAAAAACTTTTTCCTGCTTGCAGTGAGCATTTGAGAAAAATTATTATTGATTATCGAGGAATTCGCTGAATATTAGTAGTATTTGGATGTAATAATTTTGATAACATTTTTTAACAGTGGCGTCTATCATTAACCAAATAAACATGGGTAAATATTGACTTGAAATTTTACCTCTCTAATAACAAAAATTAAGGCAAAAAAAAATAATAATCACCATCAGGTTTTGTCTAGTAGACCGCGTATAATGTAAAACATAAAGCAATAACCGTAAAAAAATTAACACTATTTTCTGCGGGTTCAAGGCTTATTTGAAATTTAACAGGCTCTTTAAATCCCTTTAAACTCGATAGTATAATAGTGTGAACCTATTCTTTTTAGAATTGGGAACAACTAGTCCTATCCAAACTCCAGTACAACCTATCAGCGGTTACAGGTTACGATTATATCGACCAAGTAATCGAAAGGTGTTCCTGGAGTCAAAATCAGCAACTTCTCAGGCGGCATGCCCACACTCTAGTCAGCATTTGTTCTACTGGTAAGTAAACTTTTTTTTTTTGCTAACTTTATTAATTACAAGAATTTCCTTTATTTGCACCAGCACTTGTAATTTTGAGTATTTCTTAGATAAGAAGTACTTTTTCTCAAACACTGAAATTATATTTCAAATTATCTCTATATATACATAGAATGAATCTACCTATACACAAACACGTCCTTGATTTCTAAATTAGACAAAGCATGTACCCTCCTTCGACCTGGTACCTGCAGAAATCTGATCTCGTTTCGCAAACCCGTGAGAACGCTTGGATAATTTAATTAAAGGCCCATATTTTTCCATGAAATATCAATTAAGACATCAGTGACATACAAACCCCCACATCGACGGCATTTTTCGGTTTTCAAGAGGATATTATTTCAACCCTTGGATTTTCGCCATCATAATTTTTGAATTAAAATGTCTGGCATGCTCCTTTTTAAATCGAAAATGAATGGATGAATGTAATCCGATACGAAGAGCCTGTGGCGCTTTTTCCACCAATTTCTCGAAATCCCCTAGGATTCGTAGAGTCTCGATGACAAACATCTTGAACTGGAGCCGTTAATGACTCGGGGAAAAAAAATAATGTGTGTGTGTGTGTGTGTTCATTTGAAATAACAAGAAATGTTATGCCTGGCTTTTGATGTATTTGAAACTAAACTATTTCCAATAGAATTACGCAATTAATCAACATTTAATATCGGGGACAGCTGGTGTACCAAGGGCCGAAACCCTACGTGTAGTTATTTTATGAAGGGCACTGGACAGTGAATTATTTTACATCTGCCCTAAAAAAATAACTTTGGTGGTGTGGTATTGATTCGTTTATTAGGGATGTTTGGCAGCAATAACTACCAAAAAAGTCAATTTTGTAAAAAACAATCAAAGGAATTATTGTCCTTGTTTTGGCTCTACTAGGACTGAGTCAGAAGAAGGAATTAAATAGGAAGAAAATAGAACAAAAACCAATGAATGGAAATCTGGGTTTGTCTTTGTACATATGGCTCAGGGTTTTTTTTGAAATCAATGCCTTACTGCTGGACAAAAAACATAAAAGAAATGAAAATACACACGAAAATCTACAAACATAATAATCAAAGACAAATAGTTATGAATCCTGAAGAAGAAATTGATGGAAGATGGGATAAACTGGTAGGTACCTACTCTCTGAAATGAATGAAGCAAAAAGCATTGATCCGAACTCACGGATTTGACTATAGAAATCATACATACATACATACAAAGGATGAAGGCATAATAACAGTCCAATGCGAAGTGTCTTGAATATAATCAAAAACTGGAGAGAGGAAGAAGGACTTTCCATAAATCCCACCAAAACAACCTTAGTTCTGTTTACGAAAATAAGGAAGCTGGATCTGCGAACCTCCACTGTAAACGGCACTCAACTATCTCTCTCGGATTACGTTAAGTATTTAGGGGTGCCAACTTACATAGAACAATCATCTCATACGGTGGCCACTTGGATATACTGTGGGAAAAACATGGATGAGACCAAAAATGTTACATTGGATTTACCAAACGGTTGTCAGACCCATTGTCACCTACGCCTCATTAGTATGGTGGCCAAAGACTGAGCAAATTACTGTACAGAACAGTCTACGTAAATTATAAAGACCAATCTACCTAGGAATAACATACAGTGAAAGAAGAGGAAATAATAGATGCCTATAGGCTATTCCAGATAAAAAGATTTAAACCTGGTGATCTGAATGGCTACTTACGCATCCTTCAAGCTCCAGTGCCAAAGTAAACCAACAGATCATATGATAACATCACTGAACTTTGACATTTCATATGTCGTTGTTCTGGTACCACCCAAAAAAAAAAAAAATAGGCAAATCAGACAACGACCACTACAGATCTTGCAAACAAGCAACAGAAACTACAGATCATTTAATGCCCTGCTTACCTTTGCAAAAAGCTGAGATACCTTGATAACACATCAAGAGGTGAGCACTTCACCACCCTTTGGGAGTAGCCTACAAATCTTGGAAATGAACTAGAAACAGAGTCACGCACAAAATATTTGGAAAGGTAGCAGTGCTTGAGCAGCTGGAACAAATGTAATCTACAATACAAATCATACAGAGGCATGCATCCAGACATTTAGAAACGTTCCCAATAGAATGGGTCATCACCCTGAACATCAAAGCATCTCCTTGAAGCTCATCTAGGCCCATTCTATTGATTGAGAATATTCCAGAGGATATCCTATTACCAGGTTTTTTACTGAAATAAAAATATTATGCCTCATGCCTGATATTGCCAGAAAAGTAATAGATCGAGAGAAAATGCACATGTATCAAGGAGAAGACCTTATGAGTTGTATTTTAGCTGTGTACTTGTGCTGGTATTCTATGAAATCTCTGAAAAAATAGGGAGATCTAGCGAAATCTTGAGAGATTTAAGAAAATTTGAAGAAATCTTAGGGGGATCTCAGGTAATCTGGGGAAATCTGTGGATATCTTTCACATTAAGATATCTCTTATAGATACATTGTGACTAACCCTTCGAGTCGCAAGGAGAGACAAAATTGTCAACTTTGGATGCCGATCCAGAAATGAAAAATAAAAGAGACTCTATAGATCAACATAAGAGTAAGCTATCAAGAAAAGACCCGACCTGGAACGTTTCAGCATCTTTAAAGATGTCTCAGTTTGCAACAGATTCACCAAAGGATGATTCACAAGATGTTCATAGACAACCAGGATTTGAAGAAAAATGAAGATGGAACAGAAGAAATGAAAAACAGAATCGTTTCAGCTCGGAAAATCTTGTATCGCTTCTTATCAGAGCTGTCAATATTTGAAATAAATTAATCGAGTTTTTTATAAGGGTACACCCTTTGAATTTTGAGCAAAATGCATTGAAATTTTTAGCATTTGTAGCTCTTATCATGCTCTAAAAGACCTGTAATTTATAATATGCCCAGGTTTATAGTTTTTGAGAAAATTAAGTTTGAAGTTTTCGGCAAAATTTAAACTAAAAGTCAAGTTTGACGCTCAATTACTCAAAAAATTTCTGAGCTATCAAACTCAATTTTGCACGGATTTATAGAGAATTTGATGCTCTTTCCAATGGTATATAATTTATTTTAATTTGCTCAAAATTTAACAAAGATGTGGGCAATTGCTCCAGACATGTCAATATTTTGAAAATTTTCAATTGCTCGGTAACCGTTTGGCAAATTGCATTGAAATTTTCTGCATTTGTATCTCTTATCAAGCTCTAAAAGACCTGTAATTTATAATATTCCCAGGTTTATAGTTTTTGAGGAAATTAAGTTTGAAGTTTTCGACAAAATTTAGACCAAAAGTTAACTTTGAGGCTCAATTACTCAAACACTTTCTTAGCTATCAAACTCAATTTTGCACGAATTTATAGAGAATTTAATGCTCTTTCCAATGGTGTATAATTTATTTTAATTTACTCAAAACTTAACAAAGATATGGGCAATTGCTCAAGACATGTCAATATTTTGAAAATTTTCCAAAGCAAAAAATAGGATTTTCTTTTTATTTTTGTTTCTGCTTAAAATGGCCAGTTGGAAATGATGTCAGGGTTGTTTTCCACTAATTTTGATCCGCTCTATCGATTGGTAAAGTCAAAATTGAACAAAACTAAAAAATAAAAAAATCGAGTTTTTATAAGGGATACCTCTTTGAATTTTAAATCCAAAATCTTCAAACTTCAATTGCTCGGTAACCGTTTGGCAAATTGCATTGAAATTTTCTGCATTTGTATCTCTTATCAAGCTCTAAAAGACCTGTAATTTATAATATTCCCAGGTTTATAGTTTTTGAGAAAATTAAGTTTGAAGTTTTCGACAAAATTTAGACCAAAAGTTAACTTTGAGGCTCAATTACTCAAACACTTTCTGAGCTATCAAACTCAATTTTGCACGAATTTATAGAGAATTTAATGCTCTTTCCAATGGTATATAATTTATTTTAATTTACTCAAAACTTAACAAAGATATGGGCAATTGCTCAAGACATATCAAGATTTTGAAAATTTCCCAGAGCCAAAAATAGGATTTCCTTTCTATTTTTGTTTCTGTTTGAAATGGCCATTTGAAAATGCTATAAGGGTTGTTTTCTACAAATTTTGACCCGCTCTATCGATTGGTAGAGTCAAAATTGAGCAAAAGTGAAAGATAAAAAAATCGAGTTTTTGAATTTTTATTTCCAAAATCTTCAAACCTAAATTGCTTGGTAACCGTTGGGCAAATTGCATTGAAATTTTCTGCATTTGTAGCTCCTATTAAGCTCTAAATGGCCTGGCATTAACAATATTCCTTGATTTATAGTTTTTGAGCAAATTGAGTTTGAAGTTTTTGACAAAATTTGGATTAAAAATCAACTTTGAGGCTCAATGTTTTAACTTGATGAAATTCAAGTGAATTTCAAGTTTACTTGATAATCAAAGTATATAATTTCAAAAAACTTGTGCTTGTACTTCAAGTAAATGTATTGAGTATATTTATTTTATATTTGTACTTTAAGTACTTTCGTAAAGTACTTGTGCCGGCTCTGTTTCCTATACATGCCAGTAAAAAATACAAAATGTCAGATCTGCAGAATTCAAGACCGAAAAGGCATTAACGTTCTGATGGAGAAGATGGAGTAGCGGCTGAAAATATTGAAGAAGGAAAAGAAGCTATCCTATCAATACTGAAGGGACGATTTAACCTAATGAATAAAGAATGTTAAAATATCAGTGAAATGGAATAATAATCTGCTTGTTATTATCCAAAATATACAATGTGTTCATGAAAATGAGCAGCTACCAACCCATTGAACAAAAAATACACTGGGTTCCGCAATGATTTCAGTACTCCTGATCAACCATAAAAATTCTCATAGAAAAATCCAACCCACACCATCCTCTTTCTCTCTCTTCTTTGTGACTTTGAGAAGAGAAACCACAAATCCTATTTCAATCAGGAGTGGAGTCAAACATTGAGAAGTGAGATA